CATTCTTCCCAACATAAACTTGGAAAATCTATCATCTCTCCTCTCATTCCTTTACCTTGAGAAAGATGAATCAATGGTAGAACAGAAGAGCAACTTAAAGGTCTCCCTTATTCAGATGCTCCCATCATAGCATCTGCTGTGTGTATATCCTCAAAGTTTCTGGATGTTCTGCCTCTTCGAATACCTCTTCCTGTTCCATGGCTATTGGTTGTCCCCGAGAGGTCAATGCCCCAGGTCTGCTACTGACATATCATTAGCATCTCTAGTTTCTAGAGTCTATCACATCAAGTGAATTGCAGGTTTAACGGTATGGGAAAAACTGAATGTGTCTTTCTCTCTCAGAACCTTTAAAGGATTGCCTACACAATAATAGTTTAGTGGTAGCTCTCAGTTACAGAACAGTTACTGGTCTTAGTATTACAGGGCCCTTCTACAACAGGGAGATTTCTACACTTAGGAAACCACAGATCTGAACAACACCCCCCATAACCTTCCAAAAATTATACATGTGTGTCTGTGTTTAGGTGTATATGTCTGGAAGCCTCGAGTGAAAATAATTGTTAGATAACCAAAGTAACAAAGGCTATCTATATGTCAGTGAATCTCTGATTTCCTCTCTGTGGTCACTTCCTTCACTGAATACACATCATAGCCCATCCATGCCTTTTCAACCTGTGTGATTCCTTACTATTTCTTTCCATAAGCCATCAATGGAGGATGTGCCCAATGCCCTGCAAGCCTTGTTCTGCTTGAGATATATCAAACTGGATGTCCAGTAGACATCTTAAACTCAACATGTCCAAAACAGAACTCTTATCTTTCCCCCTTAACTTCCTGGATTTCTCACTATCTCTCACACCCAAATCCAATCTGTTGCTAAGGATTGTTGATTTCCCCTTTGCAACATCTCTGAAATATGTCCCCCTTTCAACTCTGACACTGCCACCACTCTAATGCATACCCTCATCACCACACACCTTGATTACTGTGATAGCCTGCTGGTGGGTATCTCCCTGCTCCAATCTATCTTTCATTCAGTGACTAAAGTGATTTTCTTAAAATGTAGGTCCAATCATGTCACCCCTCAATTCAATAAACTCCAGTGGCTTTCTATTGCCTCTAGGAGCAAATATTAAATGCTCTATTGGGTATTGAAAGCCCTTCATAATATAGCCCACTCCTATTTTTCTTCTTATACCTTAAACCTTGTCAGTCCAGTGACACTGGCCTCCTGGTTAATTCATGAACAAGACACACCATTTCTTGGTTCTAGACATTTTCTCTGACTGTCCCCCATGTCTGGAATGCTCTCCTCCACTTTGACAACTGATCTTCCCTTACTTTATTTATTTATCTATCTATCTATCTATCTATCTATCTATCTATCTATCTATCTATCTATCTATTTTTTTATTTGGTGAGGCAATTGGGGTTAAGTGACTTGCCCAGGGTCACACAGCTAGTAAGTGTCAAGTATCTGGTCTGAGACTGGATTTAAACTCAGGTCTTCCTGACTCCAGGGCCGGTGCTCTATCCACGGCACCACCCAGCTGCCCCTTACTTTATTTATTTTTCTTGGCTTTCCTTTAATTCCCAACTAAAATCCCTCCTTCTACAGAAAGCTCTCCCCAATCCTTCATAATTCTAGTGCTTTTTCTATGTTAATTATGTCCTATTTATCATATATACCTATATGGATATGGCAAATAGGAAATAATAATCAATAATATAACTTCTATTATTGATAATATTGTTATTATTGCATAATAATTATAATATTATACCATAACGATATATATTGTTGATAACATTAGTAATAATTGATGACAATAATTAATCATGAATAGGAAATTATACACACACACAGGATGAATAGGAAATAATATGTGTGTATATATGTTTGCATGTTGTTATTTTGTTTCACCCATTAGTCCTTCCTTCTTTAGGGCTTGGACTGTCTTTTGCCTCTTTTTGTATCCCCAGGGCTTAGCACAGTGCCTCGCCCATGGTAAGCATTTAATAAATGTTTACTGACTGATTGATATTTTATGGAAATGAGTATAGCACACAGGCTGACAACTATTAACCCTCTCTCTTCCAGTTGCAACAGGAACCTTCTCTGTTCATATGTCTTGGCTCCTCTTATTACAATAAAATGTAGAATGTGTGCTCCTTGTTTTACTCTTGCTTTTCCATTTGTATAGCCAAAATTTATGCAGTTTTTTTCATTCATTCATTCCTTTATTTATACATTTGCACTTGCTATATTTTATTTCATTTTGAGGGCACAAGCTGTTAATAGACTGCAGTCTACTGAAGTAGAGCTGGTAAGGACCTCAAAACTTGTTTAGTCCAACCCACTTACCTTATAGATGAGGAAACTGAGGTCTAAGATAGATAATAATTAGTAATAATAGCATTTGTAGGGCACCTTAAAGTTTACAAAGATAATAAGTATCAGAAACAGAATTTTAACCCAGGGTGTATGACTCTAGAGCTAATGTTCTTTCCACTTTACCCCAGACTAGCCTTCAAAACAGGACTTCAGAACCAAGATTCGGAATTACTGTTGAACTAAAAACATTTCTCTATGCCTTTCAAACCAAGGTAAAAAGAAATAACTTATTGAGAATCACAACTTTTTTTTCCTTATGTGATTTTCTTGCTTGCTTTGCACTTTTAAATATTGTCTCAAGTTCTTTTAAAAGGAGACAAGATATAATTAACATAAATAAACTAAACCTATTTTATAGTCAGGATTTACAACTTAGAGATATATCAGGGTTAACAACGCCCTTCTTTAATATTCTTACATGTCTACTTTAAATTCCATTAGTCATCTTAAGAAATCCTCTCAAATGGCTTTAGAGAAGCACCATGGAGGCAAGCCTGCCTAATAAAAGCCCTCTGTAACCAGTAGGTAGGGCAGCTAGATGGCACAGTGGATAGAGCATTAGGCCAGGAGTCAAGAAGCCCTGAGTTCAAATCTTGCCTTAGATACTTGCTACCTATATAACTTTGGGCAAGTCATTTCACCCTGTTTGCCTCAGTTTCCTCATCTGTAAAATGATTTGGAGAAGGAAATGGCAAGCCACTGCAGTATCTTTGCCAAAAAAAAAAAACTAGGCTTGAAGATGGAAGCTCTGGGTCCAAATTCTGGTTCTAATTCTTATTAGCTATATGACTGGATCAGCCGATTAACTTCTACAAGCCTCATCATTTCAGTGGTCTTAATAATTTTTGCATTGCCTACTATACAGAATTGTTGTGAGAAAGGTACTTTAAGAACCTTAAAACCTAGTGGAAAATGTAAGCTTCCCTTATTGTGAACAAAGTTTCACTAATTCTCCCTTGCAAAGCTCGTGGTGTGATCTCACTGTCTTCAAGGGTACCCTCCCCCTCTCTAGATGTTACCACACAGGATCTAGCAATCTTCTTGGCAATCCCTGAATTCAATAATCTTGGGGATTTGGCAAAACTTAATGATTAGACAATGAAAAGAGTGCTGGATTTGAGATCTGAAGATCTGAATTCAATCCTGGCTGTGCCAATTAATATCTGTGATACCCTAGTAAGTCCCTTCTCCTCCTTGGGCCTTGGATTTTCCATCTACAGAATGAGGTGTTTGATCCCCTGGGATCCTTTCCAGCTCTGAGTTGCCAAATGAAATTTAAATCATGAGAATAACCAGGGGCTTTCCCAATATAAATAGAGAAACTACTAATTATTCTGGATCATAGGTTCATTGGATTTAGAACTGGAAGAGACTTTAGAGATCATCTAATCTAACCCTTTTATTTCACAGATGAGGAAACTGAGTTGTGAAATGTTAAGTGACTTTCCCAAGGTCACAAGGGTAATTAGCGGGGCACATGACACAATTGTTATATCATATTATTATGTATGAGTGGGGAAATGATTTATTTTCTGGTTGTTTTAGATTTTGGGTGAATCAAAGGTATCTTATTTAGTATTTCAGTCAGATTTGACATTTAACTTATAGTATTTAAAGAATGAGTATGAAACAGTCTGAAAACTGTATTTTGGAATTGGGAGAGTGGCAAGTTGTCAGTGATGACTATTTGTTCCAGTCTTCTTAAATACTATCTTTTAAAATGGACTTCTATCAAGTAGACATGGAATAGTGGAGAAAGAGCTGGTTTGAGAGCCAAGGTCCACTTCAGACATATCCTATGACCCCGGCCAGGGTCATAGACCACTTTATCTCCAGCATCTCAGGCATTTCTCTAAGCCTGTGAGATGCCAAGCTGCTGTCTAATCAGTACAGGTAAAGGGTGTTCACTCATGGAAGTTCTCTACATAGATTAAATCACAGATCCAAGTTTTTTAAAAATGGATTGACATTAAATAGCCATTATTTTATATTCCCAGTGAGTTCAGTAGCACTAATGCAATGCTGAGAGAGAGAGAGAGAGAGAGAGAGAGAGAGAGAGAGAGAGAGAGAGATTGTAGGCTGTGATATATATAGACATGTCTCTTTTTATTTTCCCATGTTGTTAGCTTCCTTTTCCTTGGTTCACACAGACAACTTGAGGAGTGGGCAATTTGGGAACAGTCCTGCTTGGGGGATGGGGCTGGTGTTTTATCAAAATCCTATTAAATGATTGTGAACATTCCTAGGAGATGAAAAATTTAATTTGGTAAGGAAGAAGATGGCTCCGCGGATAGGAAATGATTTTTCTGGCCACATTGTGAAGGGTGGAGTTTTGTAGAGTGCAAAAGATATGGGGTCAAGAAGTCCCAGAATAAAAAGTAAGAAAAAGCAAAGGGTTAAGCAAGTAAAATGAATAGAGCAGACAGAAGAGGCGAGCCTGATGAGAAAAGTGATAAAAGCAGTGCTATATCTGTGATATGATTACACAGCTCTGCCAAGCATCATTTTTAAAAAGATCCTATTAAAAGATACATATGGCCCATTTTTTGGCATGTTGCCCTTTTATGAGTCTTATCCTTATACGAATGTTAATTTCTTCTGACAGGTCTCATTGTCCGGGAAGTGAGCATTGAGATTTCCCGGCAACAAGTTGAAGAGCTCTTTGGACCTGAAGATTATTGGTGCCAGTGTGTTGCCTGGAGCTCGGCAGGCACCACCAAGAGCCGTAAAGCCTACGTGCGCATCGCATGTAAGTAAGGCCTCTCTCCTAGCTGGAGTCAGTGCAGTTGATGGGAGGGGAAGGAGAAGGGATGCTCAACATGAACCTGCTCTGGTTTTCAATCATTCCAATCAAAGAAAGATGAGGTTTGTGTGGTCTTGTTACCCAACAAGTAACAGCTCACTGAAATCTTTGTGCTTCACGTATGCTTTTGTAGCCTAGGGTTTCAAAGTATATGAGCTCTATTCTTTTTTTTTTTTTACTGAACTCTGAATTAATACAATTTACTTTGTCTCATTCTCACCTTCCACCAATGGATAAAAAAGAAAAGAAAAACTCTCAGATCAAATACAGTCAAACAGAATAAATTCCTAAGTTGGCCATGTTCAAAATATATATGTCTCCATCTGTGCCATCATCTCTATCAGGAAGTAGGTAGCATACCTGGGCCCACTAAAATCATGGCTGGTCATTGTGCTGGTCAGAGTTCTCAAGTCTTTCAGAGGTGCCTTAAGGATGTTATTGTTTATCGTATGACTTCTCTTCATTCTGCCCATTTCACTTAGCATCAGTTTATGTAAATCTAACCAGGTTTCTCTGAAACTGTTCCTTTCATCACCTCTTAAAACACTATACACACACACACACACACACACACACATACATATGTGTGTATGTATGTGTATACATACAAACATATACATAATACAAACATACATGTATATATATATGTGTGTGTGTGTGTATATATATATATATATATATATATATATATATATAAAATCAATGCTTCTGTAAGTCCTTCAGGATAGTAATAGTGATAATAATGAGGAGGAAAAGGAGGAGAAGAACAAAAACAAGAAGAATAAGAAGAGAAACAACTAGCATTTTACACCACTTTATGGTTTACAAAGCACTTTCCCTATGTTATCACATTTGATGCCATTAGAGTATCATTTACTCAATGATTGATTGCTTCAGTAAGTTAACTAGATCCTGAGTAAATGAAAGGGTTGTTGCTGCTTTTAAGAGTGCCTCATTATCAGGGAGAAATATGCATCTTCTCTTGGGGAGTATGATTCCTTTTCCTTAACGCAATGTAGTTTACAAAGCTGCCAAGCCAAAGGCAGCTTGTTATGACAGTACGGCTAAGTTAATATGTTGCCTGGAGCTCAGCACCACAAATATGTTAAGCTAATCTGTAGCCTGTGCAGGCGCCAACAAGAGCCGGAAGCTTTTTTGTATTTGGGGGAGAGTAAAGTGGGATGAGAAGAGATCTTATCTGGATTAAATTTCCTTAGGGTTGATGTTACAGATCTTTCTTTATTAATGAAAGCATGTCATACCAACTTTTTTGGTATTTTAATCATGTCTGCCTTCAGTTGAGTTCTACACTTATTCTCCAGTTTACACTGGAGAATTATCTACTGTAATCTAGTGGGAAAAGCCATGCTGAGCCCACCTTCTTTGAGTAACTTGAAAGAGGATGCCTTCCTACTAGGTGGTACAGTGGATGGAGTTTTAGATTTGGCATAAGGAAGACCTGAGTTCAAATACTGTTTAGACATTTACTAGCTATATGATCCTGAACAAATTACTTAATCTCTCTCAGCCCATTTCCCAATCTGTAAAGTGAGAATAATAATAGCACCTACCTCTCAGAATTGTTGCAAGGAAAAAATGAGATAACATATGTAAAGCACTTTGCCAACCTTAAGGTGCTATATAAATGCTAGATATTATCATAATTAATGAAGATGACCCATAACAACATGGTACTACCAAATTAAATAACTACAGAGTGGGAGGGGGAAGATGATTCCTTAAGAGAATATTTAAAATTAGTTTCTAATCATAATCACAAGAAACAGTGTGATAGAAAAAGACATCATTGCATATTTTAGATGTTTTATGGTCAATGATCACATCTATTTTAAATTATTATTCCAGTCTCATTACTAAAGCAAACCTTGTTGAACCTCAAGTCATAAATGATAAAATTTCAATTTATAAGAATTCCCTTTCCATCAATGTTTTTTAAATAAAACAGAGTTGCACCAGGGTACTTAATATCCACTTACCAGTAGAGAGATTTTAAAAAGTGACCCTTCTGCCTTGGACACAAAAATATAATTAAAAATTAAAACATTCTTTCCTCTGGAACAAAAACGTAAAATAATTAGAATTTGAGCCTTTATTGAAAAAAAAAATTCCTCCCCCCAGTGTCCTTGACTTTCTTGCCTTCTGGAGCCATGCTTTCTCTACTGCTAGCTCATCCTTGAACTTTATTTATTACCTGGGGTCTCCTTGCCCTGAAAAAGTCTACAACCCTGTGGCCTGTTTACCATATAAAATATATAAGCTCTGCCTCACCTTCTCCCTTTGGTGAGTTCCTTTGGGGGCCTCCATTTTATAGAAGGGACAAGGCCAACTTTTATTCTCCTCTGGACCTATCCCCAATTTTATCAATTTTAAAACCATGCTCGTTTTACATGTTATCGTCCTTCATTAAAATGTAAACTCCTTGAAGGCAGAACTACCTTTCTTTTTGCTTATATTTGTATCCTTAGTCTTTAGCTTAGCACATTACATTGCACTTAGTAAATGTAAGCTCTTAGCAAATGTTTGTTTCCTCCCTTCATTCACACAAAAGTTGGCTTCTTGCCAGTTGTCTTTATGTTTAGATACTTAGAAAATACTCAAATATTCAAATGAATCTGTGATCTTATTAATGTGGATATTTATCCCAACAATATAGATTGCAATCAACCCATAACTATCCAATCTATGGGGCTCTTATGCTTGTCCATATTCATTATCCTGCATATTGGGAACCTTCCTTGCTTTTTCCTAACATTTCTTTCTATTATCTTTTACTTTATGCAGCACAATATGAAAAGAGAATACTATGTGAAAATGTGAATCTCCATTTTATACTGCTTGTTTTGTTAAGTTTATAATAAATTTAACAAGTAACTTTCCAAATTATCCTTTGCCTGTACTTCCTTCTAAATATCCTTGTGTTTTCTTTTGCACATTTTTTCAAATTTTAATGGTATTTTATTTTTTCCAATTACACATAAAGACAATTTTTCATTCATTTTTCATAAGATTTTGAGTTCTAAATTTTTCTCCCTCCCTCATCCCTAAGACAGTAAGCAATTTGATATAGATTCTATATATGTACAATCACGTAAAACATATTTCCATATTAGTCATGTTGTGAAAGAAGAAGCAGAACAAAAGGGAAAAAAGTGAAAATAGTATGCTTTGATCTGCATTCGGATTCCATAGTTCTTTCTCTGGAGGTGGATAGCATTTTTCATCATGAGTCCTTTGGAATTGTCTTGGGTCATTGTATTGATCAGAATGGTTAAGTCATTCAGAGCAGATCATTGTACAATACTATTGATACTGTGTACAATGTTCTTCCGGTTCTGCTCATTCACTTTGTATCAGTTCATGTATCTTCACAGTTTTTTTTCTGAGAGCATCCTGCTCATCATTTCTTATAGCACAACACTACCCCATGACATTCATGTATCACAACTTGTTCAACCATTCCCTAATTGATGGATATCTCTTTAATTTCCAATTCTTTGCCACTAGAAAAAGAGCTGCTCTAAATATTCTTGTACATGTAAATCCTTTTCCCCTTTTTTATGATTTCTTTGGGATACAGACCTAATAGTAATATTGCTGAATCAAAAGGTACACACAGTTTTATAGCCCTTTGGGCAGACTTCCAAATTGCTCTCCAGAATGGATGATCAGTTCACAGCTCCACCAACAGTGCATTAGTGTCCCAATTTTCCCAGATCTTCTCCAACATTTATCATTTCCTTTTCTGTCTAGCCAATCTGATAGTTGTGAAGTATCAACAAATGATTACTACGTACCAGACTGTGCTAAGGACTGGGAATATCAATACAAGCAAAAAGAATGATAGTTCTTGCCCTCCAAAAGCTTACATTCTAAATCAGGAAGACAGCACATAAAAGGAAGCTATAAAGTTGGGAGCTATGGAGGAACTGGGAGAAGCATGTTGGAGAAATTAGTCTAGATAGTCAGAAGTATAGCCCAAAGAGCAAAGGAGTGAACCAGATTGGCTTGGATAGTTTTCTTAAAATAGAGGTTCTGGGAAGAACTGACTGACTAATCATAGTTCGGAGGGTCACAAGAGTCACATGATCTGCCAGGGTGAGAAGGCTGCATTCTTCTGGTCACTGAGTGGAGGCAGTTTGGGATTCCTGCCAGGATGGAGGCTTAGGGTCAGCTAAGGCTGCAGGGTAAGTTCCTGAAGCTCCTTGGTGCCGCAGCAAGGGCTTATCATCATTGTCGCCTGCCCCTCCTCTGTCCAGGCCATTTACAGAAGCAACAGAAGGGGACAGACACACCACACTGGAGAAATCCATTTTGGCTTCTGTGATGGCAATCTCCCTGAAGTAGCCCCTATGCCCCAGTCCCAGCTCTCCCTCTTGCTGCCTCCCGCCTCCCCAGGCTGGAGTGGGGGCATCCCTGGGATGGGGTTTGGGGTGCGGGTTAGCTTGGAGGCTAGAGGGGGAAAGGGCCCAGGGTCACATGGTCTTGGTACCTCCACTTAAGCTGTTGCTGCTGCTGGCTTCTCAGCACATTTTTTTAAAAAATGATTCAGTGACCCATTTTTTTTTCTCACGTTACCGTTTATACTTCCCTGACTCCCTCCTCACCCTATTGAAAAGAGAAAGAAAGGGAAAAACCAAACCAAAACAAAACAAAAGCATTTAACAACTAATCATAGTCAGGCAAAAGAATCCACAAGTGACTTGCCCAAAAATATGTTTTTTTTCAATGCTTTGTGTTCACTACTTCTGTTGGGAGATGAGTAACATGTTTCATCTGTAGACACGACTGGTCATTGTATTGACTATAATCCTAAATTTTTTTTAAAGTTATTTCCCTTTACAACGTTGTTGACCTATAAAATATTTTCTTAGTTCTTTTCACTTGACTTTGAATAAGTTCTGAAATGGTCTTTTTTGTCATTTTGT